ACACGGAGCTTTGGGCAGAGTCGGAAGATTGACTTTCATGCTCTCTTGTTGCATTGGGCTTCATGTGAGCCCAGCGCAACAAGAGAGCATGAAGCCCAAGGGAAAACGAAGTTGATCTTCTTCAAACTCCGCATTAATATCCGATACATCCGTGCGCTCGCAGATTGTGGCGCAACTGCCAACTACTTTTCATCGCACGACATTCGTAAGACACGCTTAAAATGAAGCAAGTGACTGTGCAGAATCCTTGTCTGACTCAAGTGGGCAACCAAGAGGTTATCACATCCATGCATGCAGTCAAAGGTGTACGCACTACCTTTGATGCAGACCGCACAATCACACATGCGTTGAACTTTTATATCCGTGATAAGCAACTCTTCGAGGCAGTTATTGGCTTGGGCTGGTTCCAGGCCCAATGTGAAAGAAACACGTGGAAGGACTCATAATTCATGGTTAAAGATGCAATGAGAATCGAGCATTCAATCCTCTTGGACGATCCGCACAAGTCCCAAGTGACTTTTCTCAATGCAATGAAATTCTGCAAAATTTGACGTAGGTGCAAATTTGATGAATAAATGTATATAGACTTTGTTAGGCCTGCTCATGTGCCTTCTATTTTTGTTGTATATAATAGTTATATTTGCATGTCGTTTCTACTTTTTATGCATCTACTTCTACCTTTACTAAATCTACTTCTATTCCAAACGACTTTGCTTCAAATCCAGTTGTTTCGGCTACACCTATAAAGTCCAATATGCTTGCACCAGATTCTGATGATCCACCTCCAGAAAACCCATTAGAGATTCGCAGTCTTCTCAACCGATTCTCTGAATTTTTGAACAAACTACATAGAGTTCCCATGCGTCTGGTCCAACACAAGATCGAGTTGATAGAAGACAACACTCCTTTAAAAGACTATGTCTATCGAATGGGCTCAAGCGAAATAAAAGAGTTTCGAAAACAGATCGATGACATGCTTGAAAAGGGTTAAATCAAGCCTAGTGAATCTGAATTTGGTATACCTGTTTTGTTCATCCGTAAGAAAGGAGGTAAATTACGAATGCATATTGACTACCGCAGACTAAATAGAGTAAACAGAAAGGATGCATACCGTTTGTCACGCATTGATGATTTAGTCGATCCTGCAGGTGAATGCAAGGTCTTTAGCAAGATTAATCTCATGTTTGGTTCCCACCAGATTGAAGTCAATCTTGCAGACTGGTAAAAAATTACGTTTAAAGCTCGCGATGGGTTGTGCGAATTTACCGTTCTGCCCTTCCGCCTCACGAATGCATCAGTCACCTTCCAAAGTCTCATGGACAAGGTATTCTGCAGTCTGATAAATCGATTTGTTGTTGATTATTTGGATGGCATACTAATCTTCAGCAAATGAATGAAGGAGCACATGAAACACCTCGAGGAAGTGTTGCAGATCCTAAGGAATATGCAACTCCATCTCAACTTAGAGAAATCCGAGTTTTAGAGGGACGAGGTTATCTACCTTGGACATCGGTTGTCTGATGCAGGCCTAGAGCCCGAGGCAACCAAAGTCGAGGACATCCGCAAATGGCTTCAACCAGCAAACGTCCAAGAATTGCGTTTTTTTCTTGGTCTCGCGTCACACTACCGTAAGTTTGTGCCTAAATTTTCTATCATCGTACGTCTCTGACCGTCCGATGACTACATGAGATTGCTTGAAATCGATCCAAGCATAAATTAATCCATCAACTACATTGACCCGCTGGCTGCATGAGATTGATGCGTATGATTTGAACGTAAACACAAGAAAGGTCGTTACAGTCGCGTTGCAGATGCTTTGTCCTGCCACCCTAAGTACATTACTTGCCTTGTGGACTCCTACGATCTCCGGAAGAAATTGAGGATACTTCCAAGGACCCGGAACTCTGTCACATCCTTAAGCAGATTCAAGTTGACCCTTAGGCTAACAATCAGCCTGATTTCCACGAGTGTAAAGGTTTCCTCTTCTGACGTTACAGAAAGTACGATCGATTGTGTGTGTCAACCATGAGTCTATCCGTACTCACTTCTTGGACTTGGCTCATGGCTGGAGTGGACACTTCAGTTTTGAGAAGACATACGGAAGCCTATTGCAAAAGTTTGTATGGTCTAAAAGTTTGTATGGACTGGGATGAAAGGAATGACACAAAAGTTTCTGGCTGAGTGTTAAGTTTGTCAACGCATCAAACCGTCTCGGCAAAAGCCCTATGGGCTGCTGCATCCTCTTTCTATTCCTGATGGTCCGGTGAATCTTTTTCCATTGAATTCACGGACATGGGAAAAAAGAGCAGGAACGGATATTCGCAAGTAATGGTGATCATTGGCCACTTTTAAAATTTTTGAATCTGATCGCATTGCCACCTTACACCCACACTAACCTTGTGATCGAAGAGTTTAACAAGAAGTACATTCTGTAGTGTGGTCCCCCGAAGATTCTTGTGAGTGACCAGGACACTAGGTTCATAAGTGCAAATTGGAAGGA